CGTTTGTGGGCCTGTTGAATGAATTTATGTCTTGGTTGTATGAAAGATAAAAAATTTTTGATTTTCTAGCAAGTTGTAGAACTCGTCGCTACATTAATGGCTATGTTGTACAAACGCATTCTATTTTGCGTTTATTTTGTTTACTAGATAACCGAAAATGGATAACTCAGCCGAAATAGGTACGCGCTTTCGTTGAATTTTATAAATGTAAGCCGAAACTATGAAATTGTAAAAATGAGATTTTACAATGAGCCTGCTCGCAAACTTGCAATGTTTGTGGGCAAAACGTCCAACTTGATTGCGGATTGATTTGAACCAACGTTTTTGGCTTGCATTATGTCAAAAGGATGTGTTTGTTGTAATTCATTCTGTCATTTACTACCACTATGCGTTGGCCAATTCATGAAATCATTTCATGCGTTTGAGTAGAAACTGAATGAATGAACACCAGTTCATGATTTCAATTAACGCGAAATAGAGCTTATGCACTTAGTTTTTACTCAGATCGATGAAATGATTTCGTGAATTGGACTACGCATACATGTGATACTTTTGCTTTTAATTTATAAGGTAATTTAATGTTTTTATACTCTTGCTCATGGGCGTAACCAGAACGAAATTTAAGGGGGGGAGGGGGGGGCCAATAAAAATTTTTTTTCAACGCCAATAATTATTACTAAAAAATTTTTATTATAGCTTAAAATTATTGTAACCAATAGAGGTATGTTGTACACAAACACCAGGGACCGTAAATAACAGTTACTTTTTTTCAACAGCTATACTTGATACAGCTATAGATCTAATGATGCACAAAAAATATGCATACTTAGAATTTTGAATACCCCCTCACAATCTGGACTTACGGTATAAAAACGCGGTTTTCGTAGTTTGAGCCTTATAATTGTTCGTAACTCAATTTCTGTTGATCCGATGAAAAATATATACAGTGCGTACACGGTAACCGCAATCCTCAATACGTACAATTCCTTCATTAATGCAAGTCTCTAAAACAAAACATTGTAACCTTTATAAGTGCAACTCCAAAACAATTTTACCTCAATACCTACAACTTTCTTCGTTTATGCACGCCACGCACACAAAATTTGAACTTTTTGCATTTCTTTGATTAACCAGTATTCAATTAAAGTGATGTGTGATGAGCAGGACCGAAGAAAATAAGCTGGAAAAAGCAAATTTAAACGCTTAGATAAACATTAAAACATTAGTAAATATGCTTCCAAATATGCTCGAAAAACAACCAAAAATCTAAGTACAGTTTGATGCTTTGTTTTTTATTCAGTTTATTACTAGGATTGGACGGAGTTCGAAATTTTCATATTTCCAGTAGTGTTAATGCATCGATTTAGTTTTCACTTTTTACTATTATAAAGAATAATGCGGATTATATTACACTAAGATATGAATTCTCAATATCTTTTCAAGTCTGAATTTAATTGTTTTCAAATATTTTTATCCTCCATTTGAGTTAATTATTTTTAATCTCTACCATAACACCAATGCCTTCCCGTAGACAAACCTTTGGTTTTAAATTTTTGTATCTAAGCAGAACTGGAATTCAAGTTACGAGTTAAAAAAAAAACCAGATTGGTTCTTATGTTATTAATTGCAGACCCGGCAGACTTCATCCCGCCCAAATTTATTTTTTTATTTAAACATTTGGTTCAACGTTTTTACCAACAGTTACGTTCACGTTTGGTTTGTTGTCGTCAGGAGGCATATCCTCCATTGCCGTCTTAAATAACCTAATGAAAGCATTATGCCCGTGAAGAAGTTCTTGTGGCAACAATTATCTGGTCCGATGGTGAATCATCCTTGTGGCAATTTCAAAATGGAGGAATATCATTAGTTCACAGAAATCCAATATACATAGGCTTATGTCAGACGAAATACCTTAGAAGTGCTGCAATTGTATTTCGATGGCTGAGTGGAAGATCGACCTATCTCGGCTGCCAGTTCGAAAACGCTCTATCTCAAAAAACTTTTCAAGAACGCCCTATTTCAGAATTTTATTGAAAAACACCTTATCTCAAAATTCGGTTCAAAAACGCCCTATCGCACTTCAAAATGTATTGAAAATATGCTGATATAGGGCGTTTTTGAATCGGCAGCTGAGATAGGGCGTTTTTGAAACGAATTCTGAAATATGGCGTTCTTGAAAAGTTTTTTGAGATAGAATGTTTTCGAACTGGCTGCCGAGATAGGTCGATCTTCCACTCAGCCATCGATTTGAAGGCATTTATCAAGAATTGTCTTTATTCTGTTTAGTCGCCGTAAAGCAAGTACCGCAATCGGTGATTGATTTAACGGTGGTAATTTAAATTTGATCCTTGGTGTCTCCGATTGACTTCACTTGACGATTTTTACCAATAACTCAACTCAAGCGCCAGATATTGGCCCTACCTTTACCAATATATTTACATCTCGAATATGAGCCAAATCGGACAATGAGACTAATCGGCCACGAGACAATCGGACAATGAGACAAATCGGCAACGCTTACCTTGCCTTGCCCCGTTCATCGCATTTCATGGATGGCGGTGATGTCAGTCTTTATTTTCCCGAGGACATTTATTCATCCGAGGCATAGTTTTTTTCATTGGGCAGTGTTTTAACGTGCAGGGACCAACACCCAGCCCACGCGGGGTTATACGTCTTGTCACATTAGCTCGCTCCCAAAAGGGTGTTTGGTCGCTACCCAGGATATATGTGGATATAATTATCCGGACGAATTGAGCTGCGATTTGAACCGTAAGAAAACAAATCACTTCTGGCCACTCCCAAGTGAATGACAAAAGCTTTGCAATACTGGGAAATTTACAGAACATAGTGGTCAAAGGCGAATATCCAACTAAAACCTAATGAATTTTTTAAATTCATAGCTCTACATACCTGTAAACCAAATAGACGGACAAGACGTGATTCTAAATTAAAAATAGAAAAAAATAAAGTTTTCCGCATACTACAGTGATTCCCAAAGTGGTCCAGGAGGACCCCCAGGGGTCCAAGGGAGACTCGACAGTGGTCTACGTTGGCGTGAAAAAATATGGGGGTCCCCGAGTTGTAAGTGGTGGTCCACGAAAATTCATCTGGTCTCGATAGTAAAGAACCAAAATGGTTGCTTGATAGCCTATTAGTCTTAAAGGCCACCTGCACTAAAAAGAAACGGATGTTGGTATAACACTGAGTGAGGCGATGCGGAAATTGCCGGCGGCAGATATTGGAGCACTTGTGTCTTTTCAATGCTACAGGATAGTACGCCACCATTACCTTTGTTGAAGAGATTCTACAGAGAGAGAGTTCCCTGAGGGGAATGCTGGTTTAATTGTCGAATGTTCACTGATGGCTCCAAAACTGACTTGGGGAATATGCTTCGGTCTTCCAGGCTGAGGTATTTGCAATCCCAAGGCCATAGACTACGTTGCTAATTATTAGTTTACCGTTCGATTCATTTTCGCTCATTGTCGACTACGGCCAGGTTTTTACTCTTCTTAAATAGAATTACTTTGAAATTAGCGAGAATAACTTGAAACAGAACCGGATAAAAAAACTTGAATGTTAGGAGGGGGCCCAAATTATCGAGATAGCATTTCCTGGTACAATTTTTGAATATATAGGAAAAAATTTGGAATTTGGGGAAGCTCGGGCCCCCTGCCCCTACCTGGCTACGCCCATGCTCTTGCTACCACATGAATATATGAATTCGTGATAACAATATATGAATTCGCCTTGGAAGATAGGAAGCGAGTAAGAATAAATGCCGAACAAAGGAATTTGTCTTCTTTCAACTAAAATAAATGCATTTTGCAAACAAAAGTGCGTACGTTACTTAGTGCCTTGGTAATGGCGAATTCGTAAGGATCTATTGATTGCATTATAAACATTTTCATTTATTTGTTAAACATACAATTACTTCCATTACAACCCGGTCTTATTGATGCTAGAAGCGCGAATTCATATAAGGTGGTGTTACCGGAAAATGAATAAAAAAATTATATGTATATCAGAAAATTAATAAGATGAAATGAAATTATTGTTTGATTTCTAACCAAACCTATGTATGTAACTCAATCGCCTAATGGTTTGCCGAACCGTAAACATATGTTTACACATCCAATTTCGTGAGTAGGTACCTGGTACTCAGACCTTTTTGAAGTGAAACTTCTTAGGCGGCGGTATCGCAAAAATGGAAAGTGAAATTTTTAAAACTGAAAACGTTACATGAGTGAGAAAAAAGAAATAAAGCGACGCATGACGGGTACGAGTACCTACATATGTATATATGTATGTTTGAATGCACCTATGTATATATGTAGCGACACAGATAGTTGTGAATAAAACGCTTGCGGCGCTTACTTAACAAAATATGTAGAGGAGCGAGCATCCGTACAGGTCGACGAGCCAAGTAGAAAAGGAAGGAGATTAGAGCACGCTAGTTAGACGTGTGTATTTTCCAGGCTCGATACTGGAATTTGACATACTGAGCGAAGCTCTCAGCTGTTTACGAGTACGCAGCTCTCAGTGTGTTGAAGAGTTGCCAAACGCCTCCCCTTGTTATTGAAATGTTTTATATTACAAAAAATTTAGATAAATACAATGTATGTGAAATTATAACTAGAATTAGTTAGACATTATCCGCAAAATGAACATTTCTTGTAGCTTGGGTAGGTCTTGCTACTGTTTGTTGATCTTCAGCCGATGCTTCGTCGTTTGTGGGCCTGTTGAATGAATTTATGTCTTGGTTGTATGAAAGA